TCGGTGTGTGTGTAGGGGCTCACATTACTATTTTTTTGTACAAAAACAATTTTCGTTAAGTACAAAATGAACCCATGGTTAGGTAAATAAATTAGAGGAAAATGTTGGGTCTCATAATCCACGTTTCCCTCGTGATGGTTCGTAGCACCTGCAACACACTGGGCATGCTAACCCGCCTAGCATCTGTGAGGTGACGGTGGCCCGCACCCTTAGCGCGCAAGTGCAGGGGCTGGCTAGCATGGTGTAAGGAAAAGGAAAGGTATTAGCGCACAATCAATTGTACAGGGTGGTCCACATGCCCCTTCCTTTATTTTGCTTATACTGTACCGCATGCAGTCGTGCGGGCGGGCTTGCCTACCGTCGCTCACCACGGCGCCTTACGGCCCCGTGAAAGTATGCAACCCGCCCGCACGCCTGCATACGGTACAGTAGAAGCAAAATAAAGGAAGGGGCCTGTGGACCACCCTGTATAGCGTGAGCCTGGGGAACGTTCCGTACAACGTGGGGGCACCTTTCGGTAAGAGGTCAGCTCGGACTTATAGTCGCTGTAGAGTTGAAAAATAGAACACTAGTAGTCTGACTGCTGAATGTTTCTGGAGGTTGATGAAGATAAGAACAAGACACTGGTCTCCAATTTGTATCATCTGCATATTTTATGATCCGTTAAATGGAAATGGATTCCATTTCTTTTACGGAAACCTTTTTCTTATCCTGACATTATTTTTTGTCATTTCCCTCCTGCGTGATCGTTGTTTCGGGAAGGCGGGAACAAGGGCGGGGTGTGGTGGGGCGCGGCGGGGCCCGGGCCCTAGTGGGCCCTTGTGCGGCTGCTCTGGGGATGGCCGACAATTCATTTCATCGCGACCATTAAGCAAATGGCCCTCCGCTGGCCGCCTGGCCGCAACGCATGCCCGTCGCATGTCTCCAATTGCCCCCCCCCCCTTTTTTACCCCCTCGCCTTCATCCAAGTCCCCCCTTCTCTTTTCTGTCTAGGACGCTTACCTTTCTTATCGCTGATGGCTTTTTCGCTTTACCTCCATTACCTTCCACTCGTGTCTAAAATAACAATGAGCAATACGAATACATGCACCAAAATATTGAAGTAAAGCTAGAGATTGAGAGAATACCCCATGTCATACTAGGATGCTGTTTTTTTCTTCGTGCGCTTTATGTTTTGCACCCGGAGACGATTCAACAATGAATAAAAGCCAAGCGGCATGAAGAGATTTCGCTGCATGGACGGTCACGGGTGTGACCGTGCACTCGGCGGGGTCCACCACCACCAGCCGCTAGTGATCCCGTGCTCATCTCTTCAACTGTCCCTGATTGCCCGTCCTGCTCCACAAGTCCCCCTCCCACCTGGCGGGAGCAGCGCGTGTGACCGGGAGGATGCTCCGGCCGCCCCCGGCCGCCCCGGAGTGACTGATGTGGAGGGGAGGGGGCGGGGTTAGCCGCGGCCGGGGGTTGGTCGCCGGGCCGCAGGGGTGGGGGCGGCCGCCGGCGCGGGAGGGGAGGGAGCGCTCCGCACCCTGCCCGGCTCGGCTCGGCTCGGCTCGGCACCCTCGGCGAGACCATGCTCGTCCTCATCCCCCTTCAGTCGCTTCCCGAAGGTGGCCTTGCGCGCTCCGCGACCGCCGCACCGTCAAGTCCCTCAGCATCACCGTGCCAGCGAGTGCGCGTGCGTGCGTGCGTCTGTGTGCGTGCAGCAGTGTGTGTGTGTGTGAGTGAGTGTGCGTGTGAGGTTGTTCGGACCACGTGCTCCTGTGACTGTGTGTGAAGAGAGGCCATGCGGCGGTGTTAGAAATATGACAGAGTCTGTCGACATGCAACTGTCCGAGACGGAGTCTGCGCGACAGGCCGCCCTCAACAACAATAACAACAACAACAATAACACTGCCTCGAAGAACAAGTCGCCCGGCATCCTGAGCATGCCGTCGTCGATGGACTGCCTGCCCAGCCTGTCCGCTGGTGGAGAGATGCTGTCCAACGGCGGCAGCCTCGGCGGCAGCCCACCGTCCGTCGCTGTGGACTCCCCTCCGTCGACGGCCTCCCCCACGGCTCTGCTCTTCAGGGCGTCCTCGCCGCCCCGCGCGCCCAAGCAGCTGGCCGCCATGATCACCAAGGCCGCCAGCAAGGCGATCAAGCCCCTCAACAAGGCCGGCGCCGAGCACCCGCTGCTCTCCCCTGCCCGGCCCAACAAGCCGTCGTCGTCGTCCTCGCCGCCGCCGAAGACGGTGCTCAACGTCCCGGAGCGCGGCGTCCCCGGCACCATCAAGGCCTCCGTGACGGTGACCCTTAGCAGCCAGATGCCGTCGCCGCCGCCGTCTCCCGTGTCCCCGGCATCACCCGCGGCCGCGGCGCCGACCACTCCCGGGGATGTGGACCCGAGCGCCACAAGTATCAAGAGGCTCGCCGCCCCGAAGAAGTCCCAGCCCTTCTCGTCCTTCTCCATCTCCAGCATCCTGGGCCGTAGCGAGGAGCGCGACGACGGGCGGCCGCGCCAGGATCACGACGTCCACGGCCTTCATGCCGCGCACCACTCCGCCGTCTGGTCCAGGTGAGCAGTTTTCCGAAATCACGAACATACGTACTACAGTACTAGCCGGCATGTGTTTCTATGGTTTCTATGGAGCAGAGAAGAGAAAATCATACAGTGCGCCAAAAATGACTTAGGTCATCTACGTGTAACGTCTGTAAAGGCAATACACCTCAGTGTTGCGGGTTTGCCTAACCAATCTGCCCGTACCGTAAGGCGCCATTTCCTCTTGGGTATGCAACCCGCAACATTGTGGAGTATTAGCCTTTACACTCTGTATATAATGCGCATGCACTTTTAGTCCCGTTATGTGAGAATAACGCCCTTTCCATGATTCCGTGATAGAGACTTGTGCAGAATGGCGCATGCCTGCATTGCATTGCATTTCTTGCAGCAAGCTCATGTCTATGATTCTGTGGTGCAGGTTGGGCCTGATGCCCGGGCTGGTGGCTGGCCTGGGCCGCCCACCCCTCCAGGGCATCGGAGGCGGGCCCGTGGGGCACCCGGGACACCCCGCGCACCCGGGCCACCCCGGGCACCCGGTGGGTCATCCGCACGGCCTAGCAGGGCCCTGGTTCGAGCCGTGGGGGGCGCGCCACGCCGCGCTGCAGCCCAAGGATGCCCTGCGCGAGCCCCTCAGACGGACCGTCACTGCGCACACCAGCCCCTCGGGTGAGTAAGCTGCTATGCCTCGTTGGCGACCTCTCGCTGACCTTCGAGAGGAATAGGTCGCGGTCCGTTTCAAGAGTTTCGAGAACTGATCGTGCCCGCCGTCGTTTTGTTTGTCTGAAAGAACTGTCTCTTAGTGTTCCGCGTTGTCTGATCCGGATAAAGTGTAGGGAATCTTTTTTTGCGAGGTACAAGCAGGACCAGGTCCGCGTGCTGGTCGTTGGTCGGTCCCCTCGCTGCACCTCAAAGGGCGGCCATGTTGGAGCGAGGAGCACGAGAAAGGATAAAGGTGGCGGTGGAGGGGAGGGAAAGGGGGGAAGGGGGAGGGGCGGCTGGAGGTGTGAACAGCGAAATTGCTTTGCTCAGGTACACACGAACCAGTGCTGAGGGCTGGCGCGGGTAGAGAGGTGGTGGGATGGGCGACAGGGGAGGCAGCTGGGCCGGCGGGGCGGGGGTAAGGCGAGAGGGATAACAAGCTGTTATTCAATGGTGAGGCAGCAACCAGGGAAGAAAGAGCGGAAAAGAAGCTGATGGTCGCGCGAGAGGGGTGCTTCTAGCGGACGGCCTGTCCGGCAACCGGCCGGAGCGAGGTCGGCGATGACGACACGACACACTCTTGGTGAACACTACTGTTGAACCCGACGGGAAAAGAAAAGAGCTGAATCTCAGTCATTGGCAGTGGATGAAGGCTACTAGCTGCCCCCGCGCGCCGCTGCCGTTGGTTTGCAGCGGACGGGGAGCAAACGGCACCGTTTTGTTGCTAATCCTAATTAGGCTCACTTCTACCCTCTTTATTCTCCCGGTTCGTCGTCGTTTCTCCTCGTCCCCGGGGCCGAGCCGAGCCGAGCCGAGCCGAGCAGCGCTTGCTTTGTGGGCTGCTTCCGCTGTATGGCTCGCACACTGGGGCTCCGGCCGGCTCCGGCTCCCAGACTCGAATTAATCACCACCCTTTTAGTGCGACACTCAAAGAATGAATGAGAAAGCGACGGCGTTCGTCGTCGTCGTCGTTGTCGTCGTCGTCCAACTCAACTCGGGGGTCGGGCGGGGCGGGGCCGGTACTGCAGTACGCAACAACCGCTCGGGGGCGGGGCGGGGGGCCCGCCCCACTTCGTTTGTGTATTTGTTTGTGGATTCGTTTTGTTGTGCTGTATCGTGCTGTATTCGTTACGTTGGAGAAGGGTGGTGGCGGCACTACGCCCGCTGCGCCGCGCTGCCGCCGCAGGGACTTCCCCTTCCTCCTCGCACCGCCACGCTCCGCCACGCTCCGCCACCTCCCCGGCCCCACCGTCGCCTGCCCTGTCGCCGCGTCGTCGTCGCGGTAATGGCTTCTAATAGGCGGGCGCGGACCGAGCGGCCGAGCGAGGTGCGGGGCCTTGCGGGGCCCGGAGACAAAAAGGTGGCAGACTCGCCTTTACTTCGGACGCCCCCCGTAGCCTCCCTCCCTCATCCACCTCCCTCCCTCTCTCTCACTCGCTCTGCGATAGAAGGCCAGCAGCAGCAAAGCTATCAGATTACAATCCAATTAGACGTCGCCAGCCGGTCCACACGCCACCTAGTGCCCCCCCCCCCTCCCTTATTATGGACTGGGAGGACTCATATCATGTCACTCCCCGACGGCAGCCGGCAGAGCGCGTTAAATCCGCGGTGTGTGTGTGTGTGTGTGTGTGTGTGTGTGTGTGTGTGTGTGTGTGTGAACACGCGTGTTTAGTACGTACTTGATACCGTGATAGGCTTTGGCAGTACTTACCTGCAGAATCACAGGAAATGACAGATCTCCGCTTTTGAAGCAGGGTGTGCGTAAATTGCGTACCGCACGTTCTGTACCGTGCATATGGTGCGTCCCGTAGCTTAGCGTAAGTACGCTCCGTGCAGTGCGTACCGCACACGTACGGTGGGCGCGGCCCCGATAATGCGCCCTGCGGCGTTGTTGCGGCAGCACCGTGTCGACAATCTGTAATCCCCGCCGTGCCTCACCCACACGCTCTCTCTCTCTCTCTCTCTCTCTCTCTCTCTCTCTCTCTCACACACACACACTCACACCTGTGACGTGTCGTAAATACACTCACACCGCAACGGCGACCCCCTCCCTCTCTCCCTGTACGCGAGAAAGCGTCGCTCGCGTTCGCACACATTGATTTATTGGAGTTTAGCGCGCGAGTGTGTGTATAGGACTTTGGCGCCACCCCCAACCCTCTGCCCCGCCCGCCGCCAACTCGCCGCTGG